TATAATAGATATTGCTGCAGTTACCATTATCATTGCTTTGAAATAGCAATTGTAGGTAAGTACTTCATTTACTCAGTAACAAAGACATGTCATGCTTTTCCATATCTATGGCCCTGCTCCATGCCAACCAGGAGAGTTTGCCTAGATTTTAAAGCACCTCCATTGCTCTTGCTCTGGACTTTTTTTTTTTTTTTAAATCTCTGGACCCTTTCAAATCACCTTGCACTATGATAACAATCAGCATACCAATGAAGACTATACCTAAGCAATGATTTGTGTGTGGTAAGCTGGAAAATATTTTCCTGACCCTTGTGGTGCCTAGCATATGTATTATCAGCAGAAGTTAAACCCTGTTATTTTATGAAATAGCCCTGAAGTACACCACATTATTTCACCCTCTCATTGAAAACATGCATAGTTGATCAGAATGCTTCAAAATATATTGGAGCATCCATAACGGATGACTGCAGTTGCATAAATGCATTTTTACTTCAAGACAAGTGAATTTAAAAACTCAGTTCAGCAGAGAGCGGGCTAAATGAATACAAGGAATCCTTTTGGGCATGTCTCTGATTCATGTGGACCCTATAATTGTGACTGCTTAATTGGCTTATTCTCTTTGTTCATTTATTTCTTAAAAGTATCAGATCCCGTTTTCAAAATCTTGTGCAAGACAATTTCCAATAAATAAAAATAGTTCTGTCCTTCAGGTTTCTCCTCAGTTTAGTTCAGAATCACCCAACTTCCCTGTCCTTCAAACACACTTCCCTTTCACCCATTGGTAGCAGTGTAGAAATTCCTGGAAAAGATCATTTGTTAACCACACCAAGTGGCACCCTACCACTTTTTGCCTCTCCTCAGTTTTGCTTCCAAGGGTTGTGTTTGGGGGCAAAAGAGAAAAGGCTTTCTCTCCAAGCCATCAGTTTTCCATCCTATTAGTGTGAATATTCAGCTCTGAACCTGGCTTAAGAAAACTTTGTTACTTTGCAACATAAAACAACTTAGAGAAATGACTAACTATTGACATTGCAATAAAACAGAGCATGGAACCAGTATGGCCAGCTCTGAATTGTCCTCTAAGGACATTATGATCATTGAGGGATAATTGAGGGATGGAACATTGGGGGAGAAGACTGAATTCTGAGATAGGAAAAAATAACTGAGAATTGTAGAATCCTAGGTGTTCACTCTTACTTTCCTTCAAATTGTCAGCTTGGCAATTTGCTGTTCCTGACATATTTCTTATTGAGCAACTTTACTCAAGTGAGTGAGGTTATTTAGATTTTCATAACATCCCAAATGGGTGCCCTAGCTATGACGATGCAGATACCAGAGGTCATTTGGAAGAGGAGATCGAGTGAAGCATGGCTGCATTTTCCTTTGTGCAAACCTTCTTGGCTGAGCACATTAATTGCATTCAGGTCTAATTCCGGAATGTGGGAGATCCCTGACCACTTGACACCTTGGAAACATCAGATATTAAAATTGGACACTTGATAAAAAAAAATAGGATCAGATGATTGGCCATAATGTCAAAGTATTTTTAAAGTATTAAAATTCTTTAGCTATCAACAGCTTCCATAAAACCAAGGCATTAAAAAGATGGGAGGACAATCCTGCTAAATTCCAATAAGCATCAGCTTATTGTTTCCTTTCATCTCCACCTAAAGCAATGCAGTCCTCCCCAGTCTGTCCTGGCTACCCCTCTTATTCCTGCCTTCAAGGAAACAATCATTCCTTATTTGGACCTTTGTTAACACATGAACTTGTATGGCATTCAAACTAAGAGAAAAGCTTCCATTTGTATATCATTGTGACCCAGAGTTCCAGGTCCCCAAACAATACATTTCGGTCTCTCAGCAAGCTTGAGCAGAGATGGAGAAAGAGCATGTCAGTCACTGAAATCTTCCTTGTTTTCTTTTGGAGGTACTTTGGTAACTCATGAAAGACTTGGGAGCCATGAGTCCACAGGTTCTTTTGAGCAACTGAAAAAATCTCATCCCTGCCCACTTACCCATTCTGTCTGAAACTTTCTGCCTCTCTATCCCATTGAACTTTTAGGGCAACTGGAAGAGCTAGGGCCTCTGTGCAGTGGCATTTTTAAGCTGTCCATGTGCTGAGCTACAATCTTACCCAAACAGCCTTGTGTTATTAAGACTTTCTCCTCTGCTGAAACTAAGCACAGCTTCCATATGGTGCAATTTAAAGCTGCTTCCATGTGGAGCCCATGTGTGTCTGTGCATGTCACTGCTTTCCGAGGCCAACGTGTTCATTTGCCTGGCAAATGGAGGCATTCTGGTGAGCTGTCAGCAAGGCCAATATCCACTTTACTGAACTGGAAAACAAAAGTCTGCTCCAGCAACTTAATAAAAGGCCTCTGAATATCTCAGCTGGGTGTTTTTCTCCATGAGTGAGAATGAAAAAAGTTAGCTTGACATTTAATCTTTAATATCTTTTAAAACTGCTTTGTTTTTCCAATGCAGCCTAGCACAATAGAGCTACATTCTTCCATATTTTTATCCCCAGTCTGATCCTACTCACCTTTCCCTCTGCCAGTTGTAAGCAATACCACCACGTGGACTTCCCCATCTCTCTGTAAATTATGTTTTTTCCCTCTCTGGAACAGGCAACCCTTCCCATTTGCCCTGTACCAAGCTAACACTAGCTATTTAATCACAGATGACACATTGGTCAGGAAATTGCTATAAACTGAACTTGATGCTGGTTTATCCCCAACTAGCCATGATTTTTTTCTAATCAAGGGGGTGGCTGTTAGAGATTGAAAACCTTGTAGATGTCTATATTTGCAGTTTCCCTAGGTAAAAAAAATAGCTCCTTGACTCTGAACACAGCTGTGAATTTTGCGAAGTATAGACAGAAAGCTAACGTGAGATACTGGAGGCACATACCTTAGGGATAATAACTCATCTCAGCCAGGTTGGGGAGGAAGGAAAATGGGGAGAAGCAGAGTTACATGCCATTTTGATTTGTTGGGAAACTTGCATCTTTCATGGATGGAAATAAAGTAATGAAAAGGTAGTCCCATTTTGTTCACCTAGAGATATATGCTAAAAAGTGCTTAATTGCAACACATCAAACCCAGTTAGGTCTTTTCTTGGTGGCTCTGAGAACACCCAGTCACACTGTCCCCTTTCTCATTGACTGAGGTGGCCAAGTCATGCCTATTGTTGCCTGTTTGGCCAAACAGAGTTTAGAAGCTGTGTTCTCCACTGACAGCTTTGGAAATGGTGAGCCTTGCCTTTTCTGCTGCTCTTCTTCAATTCTTTCCTTTGAAGAATCAATTCAACAAAAGAGGTTAATTAAATGGACTTGGGCATTCCCATAATATGACTGATGGTGTGGAGTTATGGGTCTGCCCCTGTGTGTGATGGGTCCAACTGGGATAAATTTAACTCTCCGGAGATTTATTTACTGGGTCAGTTAATCCCTTCTGGGGCTCCCGCCACATACAGTGCCACGGGTGTCCACAGGAGGTAGTCAAAAGGTCCACATGGTGGCATGATGGTGCAATCAAAGCTCTGCCTGTTTTTATGGGCAGTGCAATGCCCATAAAAATCAAGCAGAGTTTCCATCACACCATCGCAGCCACCATCTTGACTTTTTTGACCATACCCTACAGACACCCTTATCTATGCACCACCGACCCAGTTGTGTTGTGGGGCAGGGCCATTACCAGAGAGTGTTTGTATCCTTACTCCTAGTTCTTTCTATAGTCAAGTACTGTCATTGGTTATCTAGGGATTACAGATAGACTAGTAACAGAAAGGTTTATTTAATACTTAAGCCATAGATTTTGAAAGGTCATGAACAATTAGCTGAAGAAAACAAGCTCTGCTTTTCTTAACATGGAGGTAAAAGGGTTGGGTCTCCAGCAGTTCTCTTTCTCTTTCTTGCTGTCTCTCTCTGTAGTAAGTACCTAACAGCTCAGTGCTTCCCCTGCCGAACTTGCTAATCTAATTTCTCTTACAAAAATTGTCATAAAAGCGAGCTGCCTAAAATGTTTCAGCTGTAGGAACTGTCTTCCTTATAACAATGTACATGTTTTCTCTTTGGAAATAATTAAATTTCACGATCCAGAATTATTCAGCTTCTAGCTACTCATTTCTCCATGTATTCTACCCAAATAATAGTTTGGAGAGGGAGGAAGGTACTCATTTCTCAACATTAGAAGGGGGAGGGGAAACAAAACTACTCTTCTTATATCAAAACACTCCCAAATGTTCCATTGCATTATCATTTGTTTGTTTGTTTTTATTTAAAGAAAAACATTTCAAACCTCCAAACCTTCACGTATCTTCAGTACTAAAAGAAAT